CTTTGTTAGCTTTTCTACGCACACCACCACTATTGTGTCTCATTTTGGTCGTTCCATTTCTTTTAGTTCTGATGGTCATTGTGGATCTCCGCTCATTCTTTTTCCGTCACCATGCTAATATGCTAATATGCCATGCTAACAGATAATCTCACGTGTCTGAGGGAATACCATTTAAGTAAAGGTGATGAATGCCAAAGGAAACCCCACAGTGGCGGTCTGCTTCTGTCATTGGCCAAAGTTCAAATTTTGATTTAATCAATGAGCTCTTCTGAATATTGAGTCTGAGTGTAAAATGGGTTTTTACACGTTCTATAGAATTCTTCCTTTTAACATCTCTGTTACGGATGGCAGCCCTCGGGCCGGCTTAGAGCTGGTATGGAGTCCTGGCGGCTCCGCCCACACCTGCTGGAATGCACAGGTGCTCCACATTCCTTTGATGAGGACGCGGTAAAAGAGGGGGCTCGCAGACGCATCGGGAGGAGATGGAGCTGAGGAGTGAGACGGCGTACGTCGGAGATGAGAGAGGGGATCGACCTCCGAGCCTTTGACAGGCCGGGAGAGGAACCATTGAGCCTGAGGAGCTGTTAAAAGTCTGGTTGACTGCTGGAGAGGGATCGGCCAAGGAGCGGACGGAGTACTGATGGGGATCTTGTTCAACTCGAGCTGGATGGATCTAGAGGAGCCCGACAGCGGTCTATGAGCAGCTGAGCTGAACTGGCAGGAGACCTGTCCCTGAGCTGAAACCAGATCCTGGCATTAGGGGAGAGTGATCCGAAGCCTGTACTAGGATCCTCATGAATGGATGAGTAAAATGGGTCCATTCTGAAGCCTCTTCAGTGTTTGCTAAAGGTCTTCCTCCTGACTTGTGAATTCCAACAGTTCTACTGAAAGTTTATTAGAATCGGTAAACTCCCAGTTCTGGGGCTTTTGTGCAAGAGAATGAGGAACAGCCTCAGTACCAGGAAATAGCCTGGGTTTCAGAAAAGACTTTAACTATGATTGGAGTGTTTGTACCTTCCTCTCACCTTCTGGGGGAGGTATCTCAAAAGGGTGTTTTCCACCCTTGGGTTTAGGCCTAGATTATTATTATTATTATTATTGAAATTACTAATTTGTTTTTCCCTTATTAGTCCTTTGTTAGGTTTAGGTTTTCTGGATTTTGCCCTAAAACAATCCTGAGTTTGTGTTGCTAGTTACTGAGTTTTGTTAAACAGAGAAATAAAATATAAGTTGTTTGTAGTCTGCCTCGTCTCCCTTTTATCTTGCAAGCCCTCAAACTCCTAGCAAGCCACACTTGGGTTTGTAACCATCTCCAAATGGATAAACAGGGTTGAGATTGGTTTATTTTACAGGCTCCACCTGAGTGCGTCAGTTGAGGGCTTCAGGGGGAGTCCATCAACCTGGAGGAGTCGAGCTCCCCCGTAATTCTAAGCCTGTTTACAGATACTAGTGGACCGATCGGTTTTTGTCAAATGCTGCAGGTCTTTACCTGCAGGTGTAAGAATTCAGATCAAACACACAGACATGATTTACATAGCTAAAACAATTTGGGGTCAAATTGACCCTAGATGAACAAAGATGTATGCAAAATGTGTACAGCTTATTAAAAGTTATATTAAAATATAAATTTATTCCCACCAAATTAAGAATCGTCATGGAACATGAAGCCTACAATGAAAATTAACTTTTTAATGATAAACATTGAATTTGGTAAAATTTCAACCAACCTGTGAAACATACTGAAACTGTATGTTAGGCCTACCGTTACACCCCTAGTGTACTGACTCATTAAAAGATTTCTACATGGCAACATGTAGTCAGGATATCGCAGATTGAATTTTCAAAACTAAAAGGTGGGGAAACCTGTTTTGAGACTTATTGAAGAAACAAGGTTTCATTCTGACCAAGCCGGTCCAAACTGGAGTCGTTCAAAGTGAAATGCTACCATCTCAAAACAACTCATTTATTTACGCCACTCCTGTAAGCACTTGCATTTAATCAGCATTCTAGACACTTTGGCCTTCATAATCTTTCCATAGAAACTCAATACAAACGTGTAATTATCTGAGGGAGTTTGATTGGGATGCATCTTAGATCAGAAAGTTCTGCATGTTTTCCATTCCTGTGTATTTCCCTTCGCTGCAGCTCGGTGGTTTTTGATCCACAGTGAAGTTCTGACAAACTGGGAAGTACTGTTCTGGGAAACGTACTTCACATGTAAAAATCTTTTATGAGCACTCCGTCTCCTGTACCAGATCACTTGGAACTGCAGAACTGAATATGGCATAAAGGTCAACACAGAAAGGAACTTGTACTTTATGCAAATTTAATAAGTGCTCAGCGTTTTTTCTACCTAAAGAGTGCCTTTATTCTCTGCAACGGCACCTGTGGGAAACTGGCTAAAGCGCTCTTCCCATATTAAGGCTCTAATGGGTTTTAGTGGTGAACCGTAATCTCATTCTGACTGGATCAGACTTCTTGTAATGAACCTCATATCAGTGCAGCCCAAGACGGCTTTCCTATCATGTAGCCACAGCAGCCGCTAGGTCAAGCCTCCATGCATCTGAAATCGATTTCTCATGCGGTGGTGTCACTATCAACTTACCACATAATTCAATTTATGTTGGGCTAAAATGGAAGGTAATGGGATGTGAGCTATCACCTTATAAGTGCAGCTGTTGGCACCTTTCACCTGAATGTGTTTCTTCTGTGTTGGACTCCCCGCCGTTAAGGGTTCTTGGGTTTCCATCCTGTGTTTCTGTTCTCCATGTCTCACTTCTTTACTTCCTGAATGGTTCTCTTCCTGACCACATCCATATCACCATCAATGTTCTCTTTTTTTTCTAAATGGCAAGTCCTTTTCGCTCGCCACATCCCTTTTAACATTTACTAAAGAGAAGATTTTGACCGAGTGCACACTAATCCATTTCTGACCTGTCTGCTTCATCCACAATTGCATGGCTTGTCAAGACCTCCTCTAATGAGCTAATCTTTTAACCCTTCGTTATCCCAAACCTGAAGTTTGTTTTAGTTCCCCTCCTTTGTGTTGTCTTCCACTTCCCATTTTCACCCTTTCGCCATGGACCTCAGGTATGGATCGCACAGGGAGTGGGTGGATGCCAGCTCTTCTTCCTCCTCTGACTCTTCTTGGATGTCTTTTGACATGAGCACGGATCTCACATCAGTCAGCTCTGACATCAGTCAGACCTTGACCCCGGTAACGTCGTCAAGCGGCTGCAAACCGTTGGAAGTCCCACATCAAAACAAGTCCTCTTCAGTTGCACGGACGCTGAATGTTGAATGGAGAGAAACGTCATTTCTTAACGAGTAAGTAGACCCTTTACAGAAACATTAGTCAGTAAGAGTGCTGAATCCGTTTGTAAAAAATATACTTTTGTTGCTGAAGGCAATTAGCATGGATGTTCGATTTCTAAGGAATTTGGCATATATATATATATATATATATATATATATATATATATATATATATATATATATAATTATGCTTATCACAGATGTTTTTGTCAGTGGACATGGATGTCTAAGGCAATGGATATGTTCATTTAATGTCCAAGGTAGTATAGGATTTGCTCCGAGAGAAAAGGTTACTGATATAGGAACGACAAGAGCAAGGGTTTTAAGACTTTGTTGTAAAATAATAGTGACGATAATCATCTGTTTGATCACATTTTACTCATGAATGGTTCCATTAAGTTCAATTCCCAGTAGAACTGTGGAAGCACACAAAAACAAGCTCTGCATTAGTTTAGATGGAGACCATAAATCACAGTTTCAACTTGAACTCTTCAGAGAATTTCTGGCAATTTAGAAAACCGAGTATTATTCATTGGTTTCATTTTTTCTCCTTTAATTTCCTTTCACATTTTACAATCTTCCATGACTTTATTGTGGTCTGTGTGATTACACTTTTCCATACTGAGGTCCTAACATGCTCACATACATGCGTTGTGTGAATTACCCTTGAATTACTCCCAAGGTCGTGTGAGTTTGCATTGAAGCGTTACGAAATAGCATCTTTATGAACGTTTTACGTGAAGTCAAAAGGTTCAAATGCATTTAAGACTTTAAACAGTTTGCGCAATTGACAATTTCATCTGTCAGTTGACAACTTTATAAAGAAATTATCCAAATTCAGCATTTTTCTAGAAATACTTGATGTTTTCTATACATTTGTTTGTTATTTTGACAAAAACTTGAAAAACAAAATTCAGTCGGAAGGTTACCTGCAGTCGGATATTGTAAAATTGTGGACACATGCTCTGGATTTTTTGTTCGCAAACCTGAAATGCATAATGTAGTAGCATTTTAAAAAATGACAAAAGATGTTAAACTAATATATAATGTGAAAAAGTGGGTTTAGTCATAGGGAGTGGTTTCTGTCTCTAAAGGAAAATAGTGTTTGAGGCAGACTTTCACAGTTGGCTGGAGGTGCTCTGACTCCAGCCACCTCACTTATCTTTCGGTTGTAACTGCATTTTACTTCTTGAGCTCTGCGGTTTTGGCATGAAATTTGTTTCAATTTCAAGGGAGACCTCTGCATGAAGTCGTGCGGAACGGTTTAGAGGCTGATTGCTACTAAAAATTTTATAAATACTTCTTTATTTGCACTTTTTGACACATAGTCTTAGAAGTTTAACTACTGTACAATATTCAGATATTTTACTAAAAGTATTACCAAGATAAAGAACCTACTTAAAGGCTTTGGATGCCACGACTGTGTGTCAAGAATGGAAACAATTTATTGTGATCAAAGAGAGTTTTCCAAATAAGAAGAAACTAATAAAATGATCCAGGGTAACATGTTTAACCGTCTTGTGTGGCAGTATCAGTTTGTCAGTTGGAAAGGCCTTTGATTTAGCCAGGCAAGCCATGCTATAAATGTGAATAAATAGTCTGGCCATGACCCATTCACCAGACTCAGTCGGGGGACGGAATCTACCATTGTCTTTCAGACAGTCTCTGCTTGCTATTGAACAATG